CTCTAGCTTTCGGCGGGTTGCCATGGATCTTCAGTCTCACTACTTGACTTTTTGTGCGAGACGCGTCAACCCTATGATCCTTCCATGATTGTCTGAAACTCCACGGCTTAAGGCTTAAACAAAAGGGTGCCGAAACCTGAGTCGTAAGGCTTAACGTTTGGAGTAGGGCCCCCAAACAGAACATAAGCAAAAATTAGGATAGGGATTTCCTATATAAACCCCCTTACAATGAAGCCCAATAAGGTAGGGACATCCCCACAAAATGCTCATGCTTATGTGCTTTTTGGGTCCCGAGGGGGGTTTTGGGCTGCGAGGTACCTCCTGCCAGTTCTGGTCGCAGAGGGGAACGTAGTTGCCACGAAGCCAGGGCGCCCTAGCCTGCATATGGAGCCAGGTCGGAAATGCGGCAGCGGCAGCAGCAGCAAACAATGATTCTTGTCATGATGACAGTGAAGATCATGCTGCTGGTGATGATGATGACGATGAAGCTGATGCTTAAAAGACTGTGATGAAAAAGCTGATGATGAAGATGTTGAGCATGACTATGATCATGACGAGGACATCGGAATTATGAAGACAACCATGAACTCGCCGAGTTTAAGTAAGAGGCGTGGGTGGAACTTGATATTGCAGCCAAAAATAGCAACACCTGTGGCGGCGGTAGTCCGAGGCGGAACGTGTGTTTTGATTTTGTTTTTGAACATTCAACAGATCATTTTGGAGGGGACCCTGGTGGACATGTAGGTAAACCTCTGCCTTGTGCACCGACATCCAAAATCGGACTCGATCACAATTGAACAAAAACACGACCGGGTGCACGTCCTGCAAAGCCAGCACTTCCACAATTCCAGGCCCCCAAAATCCAAACAAAGTGTGTCACTCCAAGGGTAGAAGGAGCCTTTATATACCCATTATATAGCCCATTATAGGGTAGGGGTCCCAAATAAGGATCCCTCCTTTTCCCGTTTGAGTCACGATAAACAGATGCGACAAAATGCACACGTGCGAGGGTCTCATAAGCTGTCCCCTGACCTCCCAGTCCCTTCATTAAGGAATCTACCGTAAATCATACTGGGCAGCCTACTCTAATTTACGGTATAAGTGCTTAATCAAGGGAATTTGGAAGATCTGGGAACTTTCAACCACCAATTAGCCGCAAAATCGCCAAACATCCCCACCTAAACCACTAAGCCCAACAAATCAACAGCCTGCAGCCGCAACCACTGTCCCTTAACCCCAAAGCCTCCACCCAAAAAGTGACAGACAAATCAACACAAACCCCGAACCCAAAGCCATACAGCCTAAAACCGGCAAAGCAAAGACAAATGCCATCAAACTCCACATAGCTCCCGATAGGCTTCAAGCTCTAAAGCCCGAACTAAGACCCTAAACCCTACACCCTAAACCCTAAACCCAAGGCCTGTAGCAGCTTAATCCGCTCCTGCTTGCGTCGCCTTTGCGGGCGGTTGAGGGCTTAGGTTTTTCAGGTTCAGGGCAAGAGCTTAGGGTTCAGTGTCACCCAGAGACTCCACAACCACTTAATTCAGGAATATACCTTAAAATCATATTAGGGATCCTATTATAATTTGTGGTATATTCCTTAATTAAGGGGTTTTGGAGTCTTGGAGACTTGGGGAGGGTTAGGGGCCCTGGCATTGATAATTAGACTTGGTCTGGGGGTAGAGGAATGAAACGGGACTGCAAAGGGGACATAATGATTCAATGAGATGAATACGTACTAACCTGTGAGACCTCTGTATTTAGGAGTCTTAAAATTTCTGGGTTGGCGGGTCTAGGGCGTGGGTGTGGTTTACATTGTTGAGGTTTATGGGCCTGGGATGCGGTATTAGGCCCCTTTGCTTTGCTTCGTTGCAGTTGCTGGGGTGTGTGGAGACTGTAGTGTGCATTAGGCGCTTGGTGGTGTCGCGAAGCAGGTTAGAAGTAGGGTCCTTGTCGGTGACACCTTGCCGAAATGGAAACCTTGAGCACAACCCCAACCGAAGTCTGTACGCTGAGTGAACATTAGATGTAAGCAAAGGGTTTCGGGATGTTCCGGGAATTTAGATCGCGGTGTCTTGTTGTGAGGCACCGCCTTTGAACCCCCTAAAAACCACCTGCAACAGTACGAGGTGGCCCTTTTTCGGGCTTCTGTAAACTTTGTGCACCCCGAAACTTCCAGGATTTGCGATACGGGTGGTTGTTAAAATTACGGTCCCTATAGTACGGCACCTAATGTTTAGGGTACCCAAAAAGGGACCCTAATTTTGACAACCACCCATATTACTCCGAGGTGCTCGATTTCCTCCTCGTCCTCCGAGGATGAGTCCTGAGCCGGTGTATAGTGGAAGCCAGAAAGTTGGAACATCATTATCCTCATGTCCTTTATAAGGTAAAGTGCAAGGGATCCTAGCACTAATCCTCCCAAATCCATGTTCCAACTTTCTGGCTTCTACTATAAGCTGAAGGAAACGTCCTCACCCCGAACAAGGGCAGCAAAAGTACCCTGTAGTCTCCGTTGTAGGTCCTCTTGGGGGCTACCTTATGGTAGGATCCTAAATATAAAGCTGGATAGACCAAAAAAGGAACTACGATGGAGACTATAGGTATGCCCTATGCCGCCTACCCGGGAGTTCGTGGAACATAGGGATTTAGGGTGTCCAGCTTCCATGTCGCAGGCATTCAAACCACACACACACTCTCTCTCTCTCTCTCTCTCTCTCTCTCTCTCTCTCTCTCTCTCTCCATCCGAACCCTAAACCCGGACCTTCAGCCCCGCTAACCAAAAGTTACGCGGCCTTTTCCCCCAGGTGAGGAGCCTGTGGTTCAGTGTCATAACCTACGATTAAGAAACCTTGGGCCTATAACCCTACATGTAACAAATGCCCAAGGTTTCCTAATCAGGTTCCTACATTCGGGTTACGAACTACAGGCAAAGGGCTCCAAAACCACCCGAAATCGAGCCCATGCTCGAACTAGGTGGTTGGCCGGGGAGATCTCTACAGCAAAGGCTTCCTTTGCCTCTTTCTTTTTGAGGGTTGTGAGGTTCTATATCTATAGGGGGTACCCAATTAATATTGAGGCCTAAGTAATAACTACCAACAGTAGTCTTGCACAGTAATTACACTTGGCAAATAGCCCTGGTGCATCCACGCCGGCTTGGCATACCAGCCACGAAGGAAAGCACACTGTATCACCTCATGTAGGGTTGTATCAGGCCACGAATCTGAAAGCGCTAAGCCTTAACTAGGATTTAAATCTGTGGGTGCAGGTTTTGAGGGTTTAAGTATTGGGTAGAAAACAGTAGAGTGTAACATGCCCCGAAGCCCCATGCCAAATATTCAGAGCTGGGTATTAAACCTTCAAGCTAAATATCAGGTCCCGTGCTATATTAGGGACCCAAAAAGGGACCATAGTTTTGACAACCACCCATTTAGCACTCAATTCTGAACTTCTAGGACGATACATCAGGGGATGCAGGAGCCGTGAGCTTGCTGGGCATGGCTGCAAGAGTCAACTCTTCTGCACTCATTCGGGAGTTTCCGAAAATTAGGGGTACTTTTTTGGGGGTCCGTATATAAGGATCCTGTTATTTAGGGCACTATATTAGGGTCCCTTATTTTCGGAAACTCCCATTTCTCTCTTCCGGTATCGGGCGCCACACATCGCTGGCTTCAGTGCCCGCCTGCGACAGTTGAAGTTCTGACATCCAACCCGAATAGCCCCACGCACAACAATCTCATTACTAAGTCCCCTGAGCCTTCAGCAGTGTCGGGGATTGAGTTTTTGGTGTTTGGGGGTTTAGGCTTGGGATGCGGTCAGCCTGCGGGGTCTGGGGTTTGCACCTTGGGTTAGGCATCCTAGGGTTGTGAGCAAAGGCCAGGTTCGTGTGAGGGTCCCGGGCCCGAGATTCATGATGATTACTGCGGGGAGCAAAGATTTAGAGTTTTCGGTGGGCGGGCTTCTTTTGCGGATGTTTTTCCGACCTTCTTCGTGCACGTACTCGGTTTTCGTATCCGTCCAGTCCCGGGTCCATCTAGATTCTGCAAGCCTATCGAAAGGCTGATAAAACCCTTGTTAGAGAAGAGCCCCTCCAAAAAACTGTGTAATGAAGCCCCGTGATGAGAGAACCCGAAACCTTCACAGAAACCCTATTTATGTCCCTCTAACTCAACATCAGACCCTAAACCCTAAACACCTGAACCTTAACACCCCAAACCGCGGTCAGCTCCAAACGAAACAGAGCTGCTTGCCTTGGGCTTGTCCGACCTGGCGACAGAGATGAAGAGTCTCGGGCCGGGTGCGTTCCTGAAGTCCCCAAACAGCCTGAACCCAACTTAGGGCTTAGATGGGCTTAGGGTACTATAGCTAGGGCTTAGGGTTTAGGGGTTTCATTTTCGGGCTTAAAGCAAACTCCTGAGCATTGGCCGGGTTGAACGTAAGGTCCGAAGCGACTTAATTTGTAATGATCTGGCTCTATTTACGGTGATATTAAGGACTTACAGTTTGAGACAGCTACCCTAAACCCTAAACCCTGCTTGCTATCCTGAACCTCACTACCTCACTGCTAGGTGCGCCTCATCCTCAAAAGTTGCAGGAAACCGTTCTACAAACATATGGGTGGTTGTCCAACGTAGGTCTCTTTTTTGCGGGTTCTCACAATAATTATAGGGTGCCGTATGAAGTATTTCTAGATAAGGCTCCCCACAAAGACCACGTGTTTGACAGCCAGTGATTGGGGCTTTGGGTTCCACAGGGCGCTATACATGTACCATAATGTGCAATGGTGGTACCGTGAGGTTTCTGCATGCTTTCAGGTTGTTTGAAACCAGGGCAAGCCCCTACCAGCCCTACCGGTGCTTCAAATAACCCTAAAGAGATGTCTCTCTCCTACGTTTGGTTTTAGGGCCCTTTAGGGTTTAGGGCTTTAGTTTTAGTCATGGCGTCTTCAGATAGGAACTTTATGCTGACAGGCATGGCCACGGCAGGCCAACTCGATCGTCCTAGTCTGTGGCCCGTTTCATAAGCATGACGTCAGTGTGGCCAGAAAGCTCCTCAGCCCACGCCGAGATTCCTGTTTTCGTGAAGTAGTACGTGTCGCCGCCAGTCGAGAAGGCGGTCGCCTCGTGGATGTTGAACCGCGGAGCAGAAGCGTCCGAGACTGCGGTAGCAGTATAGCCCCCAGACTTTCCACACAGCAGACCTCTTGTCTTGCCAAGAAAACCCTAAACCCTAAACCCTAAACCCTAAACCCTAAACCTTAAAACCCTAAAGAGGCAGACCTTGAACTCCCATCTTGCGCTCGCAAAATGCAGGGCAAGAGCCCCCTCGGAGGTTCAGAGCTTCGGGCTTTAGGGTGGCTACAAACCCGAAAGCCTTCTGCAAGCCCTATACCTCCGCCACTCCCCAAACCCTACAAAAGGTCTAAACGAATTTCAATACCTGGACTCCAAAGAACCTGCCATTTTAGGGTTCCTTATTAGTTTTGAATTCCTTATATAAGTCCTTGAAAGGGTAAACCTTACCACACCCCAAAACCCGCTAAGTAGGCTTTGGCTTTGGCCCCTCAGCCGCCCCGCAAAAAAGGTAAGCTCAACCTTCTGGCCCTGAACAGGAAACCCATCACAGAAAAATCCTGAACCCTAATCCCAAGGCCCCCAACACCTTGTGAGTCCTGAACCTTAAATTAAAAATTGCTTCACAGCCTTATAAGCTCTAAACCTCATGCAAAAACCTCAAACGGAACCCTTGTCACACCTTGAAGGAACCCCCAAAGCCCCAACAGGCAGCCCTAAACCTCACTAAACAACTCTCACATGCGATAATGTCCTAGACAACTCATATATTTACCATTAAGGGCACCTCTAAGAAACCACGGAGGCCAACCCTAAGCAGGACTGGAACGCTTCCCCTTCGAGTAGGACACCGCCTGTGCCTATCGCAACGAGTAATTGTTTTGGTTGCGTTTAGTCTGAGTTGTCCTTTAAGCCCACTATTTACGATTGTGGTTCTCTACAAAATAGTAGGGGAAATTAAAACAAGATCCCAGAGGACAGCCCAGTAGTCAACTTGTTCACATATTTCGCGTTCTTTTGAGGATTTCGGGGTCTAGAGACCCTATGGGACGTTGGAGGGCTCGAGCTGTAGTTCAAGTTGGTTAGTTGTCAAAATTATGGTCCCTGTTTGGGTACCCTAAATATTAGGTGCCGTACTATATTAGGGACCCAAAAAGGGACTATTATTTTGACAACCACCCTAAGTATTGATGCAGAGATGGCCGTCCTGGGTTCAGGGTTTCGGGTCAAGGGTGTCGAAGCGTTCAGAGCAGAAGGATTTTCCCCTAAGTTTTTCTAAGGGTTTACCCCAAGGGTCCAAACGACCCTATAATGAGGTTCTCGGTTTTAGGATAGTCGTTATGTAGGTTAGGATTTTGGAGAGTATATGGCTATTAGGCACTTGGACTCTTGGGGTTATGGCTCGGGGTTTGTGGGTTGGGGCTTCGGCTTATTGCCTCTTAAATGCTTTTGATTTCTGCAGGGCCACCACATCAATGTAGCTCTGGCCGGTGATGCTAGCTCAGACCACTAACGGCTGTAGGAAGGCGTCCATGCAACGCAGTCCATGTGCATGCATCCTTTGTTGGTATCCAGCAGTGAACCAAGTCCTTTCTCTGAAACAGGGAATGGCTGGACGATGTTGGACGAGTATATCTGCTTGGATCCATTCATGTCGAGGATTAGAGGTCGATGAATTTGGGGTTCTGGGGGGTTGAGGGTTTAGGGTCTCAGTCTCATGGGAAAGTTAAAACTTGAAGCTCGAAGCTTTTCTAATCCCCAGCCTCTGAATCCAAAACATCAAGCCCGAAACTCCAAAACTCTAGAGGCTAAAGGAAAGCCCAGAAGCCGCAAGAAAGCCCTCGCAATTTGCTTTAAGCTTAATTAAAGTCTGCTTTTCCTTTGAAAGCTTCTACACCCTTTGTTCAGGGTTTAGGTTTTAGGCTTTCGGATGTCCAGTTCCGGGATCAGCATGGTTTGGGGTCTGAGGTGGAGGTGTGTTGAAGCTATAGGCAATTGCTAAGGCCCCTATAGTAGATCGTTTCGTGTCTCTTGCCCGGCCTGCGTGGCTGTGGCGGACAGAAGCACTGAAAGGATGCCTCTAACGCGTTAGAGTTTAAAGTTTAGGGGTTTCGGGGTTTGGGGGTTTAGGTTAAGTGTTCAAGGGTGGTCCAAGGTCTGAGTTCAGGGTACGTATTGATTTTGAGGCCTGGCTCACTACAACCGGATGTGGGGCTGCTTTTGATACTCTGCTGAACTATCTGGGAGCTCATGACGGAATCCTGCTGCGTGGTGATAACTACATTGCCTGCCTGATGTCATGTGCTTTCGGTTGCTCCGGGGGTTTGGTTGTCAAGAGTGTGGGGACATGTTGGGAAAATGATAGACAACACTAAGCAGGCTAGTAGAATCTTGATTGTAAGGATACCGACGGCCCCCCTAGTTCTCAGAATTCCACTTTACTGACTCGTGGGTTTATCAAGGTGACGAAGTTGTAGTTATTCAGGAACCTAGAACGGCAGGCTATTGCGGGCTCAGGCTTTGTTGAGGCGTTTTGGGTCTCCAAGGCTTGCATCCTCTGCGTCTCCGTGTGACATGCTTGCTCGTGAGGGCTCGGAAAAGGCAACACGCCGCCGAGCCTCAGGGAATCGATATTAATGTTTTTGGAAAAAAAAAACGTACAGAAGTCCCCAAAACTCTGCCAGCCCTAAACTTGAACAGGTGATTCACCCTCGTGTACGCTAGTTCCTCGAATCTAAATACCCGCCCTGCGGACCTATGGTGGCATGCCTTAATAGAATAGAACAGGGTTTGGGACTGTAACACCCTATCGCAAATCTTGTAGCATCCGAAAGTGCCGTAAACCTGCCAAAGCAAGCCTTGGAGGTATCAGCGGGGAAATGCTTCATTTCATGAATCATATAATCATATATTCTAGATACCTACTATTAACCCTGAAGCCCATCACGTCGAGATGTGATCCGTGCCTAGGACCGTGGTCGTCTTGCCGGTCCCAGGTGGCCCCTAACAACTTCTTTAGCGGTTTGTCTGGGTTTGCGGTGTCGGGCTCCGGATTTTAGGTGTAGTTTAGGGTTTCAGATTTAGGGTTGGACTCAAGGTTTTTGGCTTGGGGTCTGGGTATGAGAAGGGATAAGAGCCTTGATAGAGATGCAAAGGGTTCTGGAGAGGGTCTCTTAAAGAAGGGTTCCCCAAAGACGAGTTTAGGGATTTGGGCTGCAGAGTTAGGTGTTTATGGTGACTGCACTGGATTTTTACAGAAAAAGCCAGGAGTCAGATTTTGAGGGTGCAGGGTCTCATGTGCTCTTGGAGCGGGAAAAAAACGCATGTACACTTGTATGATATTGAGGTCTTGCAGACCCATTTAAGGGGTCAGGAGATGCTTTACCGAGCAGAACATACCCGAGATGCCACTTGCCAGGACATGGGGCTCAGGGTGTGGGAGAGCTTCACGTCTGGGCTTTTTGAAGGTGTTGGCGGTTTTAGGGGGTGTAGCGTTTAAATGGTTTGGCGCAGTGGGCCCACTGTTGAGAATACTTAAAGGCGCTCGAAGTCGACATACAGGAACATTTCAGCGGGGTCTTATATTTGCAGTTTAAGTTTAAGGCTTCACGCGAAGCAACATAAACCCACACCCCCCTAGATCCTACACCCTACGACAAAAGACCTCGAACCTTCCGCTCAGAAATACCCAACCGGCATCCCGGCAACTGTAACCCCAAGGGACCCTGTAATGAGATACTCGGTTTTAGGATAGTAGTTATGATAGGTTAGGATTTTGGAGAGTATATTATGATTATTAGGTACTTGGACCCTTGGGGTAACCTTAGGCTTCAAGTTCAACCATAAACCCCATAGGCTAGATCACCACAGCCGTGCCTGGACCAGGGTAATGCCAGAGACCTGCACAAAAGAGTCGTCACAAGGGCTTTTGGGTTGAGGCTCTGTGGATTGGGCTTAAACCTTGTGCATTCAAGAGTAGTGCGGCTTGTCAGGCTTCCTTATTGGATCTTGCCGGAAGTGATAAACTTCAAGTGCGCAACAATGCTCATGCACTCCCCAAAACACCAAACCTTCTCCTACCCTAATGTCTTGTGCCGTTTTCCTCAGCTTTAGGCTTCTGCTGCAATCCTAAGCTCAAGTCCGAAACCACCCTACATCCTAAATCCTTCAGATTTGAGGTGTGTCCGTAAATTCGAGCTAGATTCGACGTTCATCTGGTAGCTGCGACGTTGATGGAAAGCTCGTGACACCGACTCGTCAAAATGAGCCTCAAAGATCTGATGCCCAGTAATGGACGCCATATTCACAACCCCAAGCCCTCAATCATGAACCCTAAACAGTAAATCCCCGGGAACCACGTGCCACGAAAACTCACGAAGTCTCTAGGTTTATACCAATCATTAAACCCCAAACGCGACCAGGATCGATACAAGCCTTCTTGGAGTCGTTGATGGCATTCTGTTGCGAGGTGTTGTACCTGCTCGGAGTCAGTTGCTCTCCCCAAATACATACAGGTTTACAAAGGGGTCGATCTCCATGGTGCTTGAAGCACGGCGCAAATCACCAAGTAAAACCTACATTCCTAAACCCTAAAACCATGAACGCCCTGAACCCTAAGCCCAAACCTCAACTCACAACCATGGGATACATGAAAACACGATTCTCGGATGCTCGATATAAGCCCTATACCTAGGCCGTAGAAGTGCTCGCTTGTGGGCTTCGCCTTTAGCTAGCTGGTTCAAAGACAGACTACCACGGATCTCCTATTTCAAGGGCCTATATTCTGGGATCCTATCACCAGCCCCGATACTATCGCAAAACAGGGCTACCTTCAACTACCCACTACAGCAAAAGCTGATGATCATGCCTAGGCCCCTGACAGCCTAAGCCCTATGCAGCTGAACCTGACACCCGAAACTTGCAGGCAGCCGAGGAGATGACCACGTTGGATACCACTATGCATACAAGTGGGCGGCTGTGAAAATTGTGGTCCCCTTTTGGGTACCCTAAATACAAGGTGCCGTATTATAATAGGGACCCAAAAAGGGACCGTAATTTTGACAACCACCCAAGTGTTAATGAGTGCTAATGAATCTGATACACAAAGCCTGCAGCAGTATGGACATGAACAATTCGGAGTTTGGGGTTCTTGGGCTATGTATTGAGCCGCAGTTCGACATAGCACCCATCATGCGGTTTGCCGCCCGTTGCGGAGTTCCAGAGGCTCCACTACTCCTCCTTGAAGGGGTTATTCGATAGGTGCGTGCTGCACAGCCCTCTTAGTACTGAGAAACAGGGTCTTCGGAGCCGCTGGGGGCAGGGCCAATCGAGACATAGGAATCCTGATAACATACGTCAGACCCGGAGTCTGCATATAGACCGACAGCAAGACGCTGCTCCGCAGCGATGTGCCACAAATCCGCTTCAACCTGCCATGGGGAGCTCAAGGCATAAGACCATTGAATTCCCACTCCTCTCTATTTCGAACTTGAAATCAGCCCTGAATCTGAGGCAGTGACCTAGACACCCAAACTGCCGATGTCCATAGTCATACCTCTTGGGAAGAGCCTCCTGGGTCTGTTGGTCTTCATTGATTGTATGTGGTTGTACCTGCGTTGCACTGTGAAGTCCTCTTGAAAGTGCTTCTGAGAGATGGACTTCGGGCGAAGAGAAGCGTAAATGAGCCGTCATACCGTATTCAGATGCTTGTTCGAGTTACGAGTGGGCACAAAATATGGTAAGTTGCGATACAAGCTGTATAAGTACCCTCCACCCTGAAAGCACTGTTTCGCTGCGCAAGCCGTCGCGGTGGCCGCAACCGGAAAGGTTGCTAAGATTTGAAAAAAAAACAGACCCCGGTCCCATGTTGCTGCTGCCTCTGCAAGCAGCCTAATTATGCCTGTCTACTAGGCAGGAACGTTTTCAGTCAGGGACTGAAGGAGCGAAGTCAAGGACTGACAGAGCTCTTGCAGGTCTTTCGCATGCCGCTGCCACGCCTTCACGCGTTTCAGCAAGTCCAAGGCCTTTTTTGCAAAGTCGTGTCTGGCATCCGCAGATGCCCATGAACCGAGTCCAAGGGCGGTCCCAGCAATAAGGCCAACGGGACCTGCAACGGCCGCAGCGGCCACTTCAGCAGCCAACACAGCTATGCCAGCAATTCCCGAAACACCCGAGGAAATGCCAAGGCCCCAAGCCCATCCTGATGCCTTCGAAGCTTGCTCTTCCAAGGCTTTCACCTCTTTCTGGATTTCGTGGATCGCGTTGTTAGCGGAGAGGATCCCTGCCTTGACTTCCTCCTCTGCCGACTGGAGAATCTCGCGGAAAAGGTAGCTCTTGTCGCTCAACTCCTCGTCCAGAAGAGCCTGCAAGCCGTTAAACCCATCATCCTGGCAGGTTTCGTTGTTGCACCTTGCTTGCTCTGCGGCTGCGGCATCGATGTAAAAGACCCTGGCATCGGAGAACCCTCGTGAGGTCAAGAAGTCTCTCACCTGCTGCTTGCATTCAGTCTGGCTTGCTTGCGTCCTGAGTGCATCCCAGTACGTCACCACGACCACGAGCTTGCTGGCTTTCACCGCCTTGAGAAGATCGTTTGCAGCCGTGCTGGTAGGCTTGTTGGCGAGCAAAGTCAGGAACACAGTGTCCGAGTGCTGGACCGCATTGAGAGCCTTCCCCATGTGCTCCTCAAAATCTGGAGCATCGAGTCGGGAGTGTCAACGATGGAGACTGCATCGCCCTGAAATTCCTTGACCTCCGTAGTTGTTCCCTGGGTGTTGCCGGTTTTGCACGCCTTCTTGCCCAAAATTGCATTGATGATGGTGGACTTACCTGTGCTGTGCTCCCCTGCGATTGTCACGACCAGGCGAGTCTTTTGGCGGAGATCCTTGATCTTTTCATTTTTCGGCAGAAGTGTCGAAGCCCTTTCCAAAACTTGAGCCACCTGTTCGGCCATAGCTGAGGAACTGCGACCTTGCTGCTTTCCATCCGCGTGTGGGCTTGTCGGTGGCAAGCCCTGCGGCTGCGAGGCGTTGCTCTCAGATGAGCCCCTTTGACTGCTACGATTCCGGATGTTCTGCTTGACGAATGAGCCGCGAATCTTCCCTAGCACCCAGCAGCACGCACAAGCTGCAACAGCAGCAGGAAGAGGGGTCGTGCGAGCATAAAGCAGAGGAGGGACGGCAGCTGAGTGTGCACTGGTAGGTCCGTCGAACATGTGACTGCTACGACCGACATCCGAGCAAACTCCCGCAAATGCCTGGCGCCCTTCGACTCGAGGACGCCTGCCGCCAAAGCTCGCGAAAGTCCATCCCGGCATGGTCCGCACAAGGAAGACACCCAGCAACACAACCTAGTGCATGGTGCTGACTGGGGACATCCGGACAAAGTTTAGCATGCAGACTATGAACATGCGTGGACAGCTGTCGTGAACAAGAAGGGAAAACTTAGAAACTGCACTACAATGTCACTACAACCAAAAACGCTGCTATCACCTGTGAGTCGAGACGCGACCATTTGCCGAAATGCTGCCGGCTTGCGGACAGGAGCCGCGGCACATGCCATGCTGACAGGAGCGGAGGATCGCGAAAGCCGGGGCTGGGAACAGTCGCGAAGAGCCAGCTTCACAGAAGATGGCAGATCAACCTGCAAGGTGGGCCTTCAGGACTCGGATTCAGAATATACTTGAATAGAATAGGGTTTGGGAAAAATGCACGACAATTCGTTATACAGGGCGACAGTAATCAAGCGGCCGGGAAAGTGGAAAGCACCGTATGCCCACAGGACACTGAATTGCGGTGCTGTAGACCCACTTTGCAGAAGTCATGCGGCTGAATCTTCGGAGCATGAAGGTCTTCTCCGTCTTCACTGATAGACGGTGCTGGCAGTGACGTCGTTTCAATCAACGATGGTTGGGAACAACAAGACCAAGCTACACGACTCATTGCTCTTGACCATCCTTCTTGAATTTCCTACCCGCGTTCGTCTGAGAGACTACATGAAAATGCCCAACAGCCTTGTCACGTTGTATGATGCCATCTTGAATCCGAGCCCTGTTCTGAAACCTGCAAGCTTGATTGCCAAACCCAAAACCCAGATCATCACTCTCAGGCCGAAATCCGTAAACCTAAAACTTTCAGTTCTAAACCACCAAACCCCCAAAATACAAACCTCCTGTGAAGTTGGGTTTTGCTGCATGTCTCGTCTGCAGTAGCTCTAGAATTACCACGGCTATCCACTTCCATGTAGCAGTGACATCAAAGCCCGACACCAACACTGCTAGGCCGACCCTAAACCCTACACCAAAAGCCCAAAACCATGAAAAAAAAAGAAAAACGACACCCCCTAAACCCCCAAACCCTAAATTAACGCATGCCAGGCAGACCTATATTCGAAGATCCAAAGCGCCCAATCGCTCACGGCACCCAAGCACTCCGCGGTGCAGAAATCGTCCAGTCGCTCAGGACTTAGGGGTTAGGATTACGGGTGTAGTCGGGCTCAGGATTGAGGGCTTCAGGTGCCCCATCTTAAGGTCTAGACTGTGACGTTTCGTTGAATTCAGGACTCGCCCAGTCGCGACGGTTGCTCAGAGGCCCAGGGGGCTTAGTAAGTAGGTTATAAGTAGGTGATAAGTATGCTAAATGGAGTCACCCCAATTATAACCCTACTCATGACCTACTTACTAAGTCCCCTGGGCCCCTAAGTGCACGCGAGTAAGCAAAGAGTGGGAAGTACTGTCCTAATCTAATGGTCTAAGGCTGGGTTCTTTGCCGTCATGGCCTCTTGGAATCCCTGGTTTAGGGTTTTTTCAAGTTGATGTGCACCCTTTCTCCAAAGCAGCGCTGGCATTTTGCCCTCAACTTAGTGAAACTAAATCCTCCCCCTAAACCCTGGTTTAGGGTTTCGGGGTTTAGGGTTTAGTGTGGCTCTCACATGTTCAAGCAGGGCCGAGGGGCTTCTCGAGGTTCAGGGTTCGAGATTCGGGATGGTTTATTTGGGGTTTAGGCGGTTTAGGGTTTTCAGGGTTCAGGCTTTGTGGTTTCGGATTTTAAGATTTAGGGTGAATATACGGGATTTATATAGCCATGCAGCTGGTCTCGCCTCTGCTGCAGCCAGCTTTCAACGGCCTGAGCCACATTCAGAGCAAGATGCCATGCCTACTGCAAAAAACTATGCACTTACCCCCGTTTGGAGGCCCAATCATTCAATCTCATGTGCTTGTTGCGAGGTTAAGGGTACAAAACAAACCCGCTGTGAGCACCCGTAGACGCAGAGCATAAGTTCCTCAGCCGTATATTTCCCCACTTGTTAACATAGCTGCCAGAATATTGAGTAAACATGTCCCCGTACCAAAGCCTATAGGGTCCCGCAAGAATCACGCAAGAAGTTCTACTGCAACGATTAGTGATTATGGCCGCTGCACTAGTACAGGGGTCTTAATAATTAGAATAGGGTTTTGGGCCCCACTATATCGTAATTGTAATAAGGAACCTCCAAAATAGTATTGGTAATTATTAGGGCCCCTATTATGGTATACCTTATAGTAACCATATATAGATCCCTTTAAAGGGAACGATTAGTTATTAAAGCCGCTACACTACACTGGAAGACCCGACTCCTGCAGAGGATGCCTCGGGCAAGTGCAAGGTCTCCTGGCACATAGGGTGCTTCGGTCTGCCTGGACCCTAAACCCTAAGGAACCTACGTTTTTGAGGGTTCCCTAAAAGGATTTCTTCATATAAGTCCTTAAAAAGGTAGGTCATTTGGGGTGGACTTAATAATTAGAATAGGGTTTTGGGGTCCATTATTATACTATTGTTACTATTGTTATAATAAGGACCCCCCCCCAAAATGGTATAGGTAATTTGTTGAGGCCCCTATATTAGGGTGCTTCGGTTTAGTGGTTGGAGAGTATTAGCTTTGTTGGGGTTACCGTCAAGAGTGAAGAGCCTTAAGCTGGAAAGGTTTAGGGGAGAGTTTGTGAGGATGGTTAAGGTGTGCTTCGAAAGTTCAAGAAGGGTTCAGCTAGGGTTACTAGGATGCCCAGTAACCTAAGAATAAAAAGGCCTCTCTTTTTGGTATTCGGTAACTATATAAGGAACCTAGGACTACAAAAAGGGAAAAAGGGTACTACTGGAGATCCTAGGTTGGCATTTGCGAATGTTCAGGGCTTTAGGGTTTAGGGGTTTAGGGTTTAGGGATTAAGGTGTGCTTTGAAAGTTCAAAAAGGGTTTTACTAGGCTTAGCATTTGTGAATGTTCAGGGTTTCGTGTCTGGGGCTCAGGAAATTCGCGGTTTGCTAGTTCGGGGTTGGAGGAGTCTTGGCGTTGTGGGTTGACGGCTTCAGGGGTTGAGGGTGGGCATAATCAGAGAATCATAGCAAGAGAGAGGGAGAGAGAGGGACTCTTGTCCTTGCCCCTAAAGGAACCATTTTCAGCACCCTTTCAGGAACCCTTACAGGACCGTATATTTCTCGCACCTTGTGAGGAACACTAATGGCACCCTTTAAGGAACCCTAAAACCAATCAAACCCTGAACCCTAAACCCTAATCCCTAAACCCTAATCCCTAAACCCCGAACCCCCATATAGTCCCTAATCCCTAATCCCCTTATGGAACCCTAAAACAAATCAAACCCTAAACCCTAAACCCTAATCCCTAAACCCCAAACCCCTATATAATCCCTAATCCCTTTATGGAACCCCAACACAAATCTCCGGGAAGACCCGTGGTCCTCGCTCTTCGCCGCAGCCGGCTCCACGCCGACCTCGAGGGCCGAAGCCGCCTCCGAGGTAGGGAATTTCATGAGCTCCAGCTTTTCAGGGGCTTCCTAAGGGGCTACCAAAAAATATTCTAAAAAGGGCTTGGACAACGAGGGTTTTCAGAAGCTTTGAGAGGTTGGGGCTTAGGGCTTGAGGGTTGAAAAGGGTTTCATGAGCTAATGACAGGGCCTTAATAATTAGATGAGGGTTCCTTTAACGGGTTCCTTGCAGGGATATATAAGGGTACTATAATTAAGGGGCCTTAATAATTAGAATAGGGTTCCTTTAATAATAATATAACAAGATTTCATGAGCTGCAGCTTTCAAGGGACTCCTTTAAGGGCCTACACAAAGACCTCCAGAAAAGGAAAAGGTCTCTTTGTAATATATGTGTACAAATATATATATATATATATGTGTATGTATATATATATATATATATATATCTGTACACGGAGGGAGAGAGAGAGAGAGAGAGAGAGAGAGAGAGAGAGAGAGAGAGAGAGAGAGAGAGAGAGAGAGAGAGAGAGAGAGAGAGAGAGAGAGAGAGGGAGAGAGACAGAGAGACAGAGATAATGAAGGCTTTTATAGGCTATGAGGGCTGATTGAGGGCTTTGCAGTTCAGGGTTTCATGAGCTGTACGAGTACCTATATGCTCCATTGTGGTTTTTTTTGGCTCACCAATTTTGTGGTCGGAATCCCCTACAACATACTTGGTTAACCAAAAAAGGAACTACAATCCAGACTATAGGTAGCTTTACCGGATTCCTTCAAGGGGTTCCGGTGATGTGAGGGCTCCTTCAAGGGGCAACTTAAAAGGTCCGTTTAAGGCTCCTCAGCGTGTTCTTAGGACACCGTTGCTCTATTGCTAGGATATCCAAAGCAGTATTCAACATGTTCGGCCCCCTCTGTCAGGCACACTGCTCCGCCAATGATTAAGGATTTTAGACCTGCAAGCCGGAAAAACAAACAAACCCCTACACCTGAAAGCTGAACTCGACACCACGGCACCTATCCTTTCAGCTCCTCATGGTGCTATCATTAGTTTCTTTGGGGTCCAAGTAGGGTTTTAGGGTCTGTAGGGGCATTAGATTCGTGAGCCTGCATCTCGAAGCCTTCATCGCCTGACAGACTGTGGGCAGGTGGTGTCTCACGAGGGGAGTTGACAGACCATCGCAAAGTTAAGGTTCGGGTTTCAGGGGGGCCGAAAACATAAAAGGGGCGTTGCACTTGAGGCATGTTCGAGTTTGTCTATACTCAGGAAGCCTGGGAAATTGTATTAAAATGAATAATTGTGCGTCATCTTCCGTGCAAATTTAGAATTCACACCTATTCAAGCCTCTATATTAGAGGGGCTCATACCTTGAGTCTGGCATTCGCAATCCTGAAGGCTCTTGCATGGTTTTTGGGCTTCAGATTCTGTCTCTGCGTCTTATCACATATATTGGAAGCTTGACGATTGCAGGGTGTAAGTGTGCTTTGCAGTTAATATATCAAATGGTAGCCAAACCGGAGGTACTTCTGTCAGTTATTCTACCGTCGTGGAGAAACCCCCAAAACTTGACAACTACTGCCGAAGCCTAGCCAACCCGAAACACTCTTAATCACTAAACTGCTAAAGACCAGTCAACTGCATCATGCCTCACTGCGACGTAGATGCATAGGCTTTTCTGACCGAAACCGCCACACAATGACCGACCTATTACGAAAAAACAACGACACTTGCACTTTAGCCAATATCGGGGTCCTTAAAGCCCGTACTGTACAGAAAGCAGCATTTGTAGGGATTGCGGTGTCTCTCCTGTTTGGGCAATTAGGATCTAAACCAGCAGCAGGGCCCCCAGTCTAGATTCTAGCTAGTGGGATGCTTACTAGGCCAATGTTGCTGTACTCAACAACAAACCTTCAAGCCCTAAACCACCACACCTCGAAGTATATAAGCTATTACGACACCCACGACTAGACAGAACCCCCGCCTCGCTCAGGTGCCTCCTCGCGATTGAGGATGGTGTCCTGACCATCACAAAGGATTCGGATCGAGGGTTTAGTCGGGGCGATTGACGGATTTAGGGTTTAGGGTTTAGGGTTTAGGGTTTAGGGTTTCGGATATTTGGGCTTACGGCTCTGTTCTACAAAAGGACTCAACCGACACCTGAAATTCTTAAACCCTCAAGCCCGAAGACCCAAACAGTAACGCCACCCTGGCACCCTGCAGCAGTCCTTGAGGAAAATCTCTGGGACGGCCTTGAGAGCTTCGTATTCACGCATCCTGGATGGCGGAGTCGTGTGGACACCGACGGGACTTTTGAAGGCTTCATGAGCTGCTTATATAGGGTTTGCACGACCGTTTTTCGTGAAGTATGGCTATAGGGACTAGCGTGAGCAGCTTAAGCCGACCCCTTAAAGCCGACAAGTCGGAATCCTGCGCCCCAGAGCCTTCTACCCCAACAAGACACTCAACCGCTAAGCCCTCGAAAGCGGTCATCGGTCAAGAAACTCCTGATCGAAAGTCCCGAGTAGCTGGACTAGAACGTTTCCGATTGATTCATGTTGTAGATACTTCTGGGGAAAGCTAATGAACATGCTGCTGATGCTTCGTCATGCCCCATGTTGTCCTGACGAAGCTTGAAACGAGAACCAACGGCCCTTTCGCAAGTCTAAAAGCTGCCTGAAATCGGTTAAGGGTTTAGGGTCCAGGGTTCAGGGCAGATGCTGATAGCACACACACACACACAACTTGTCCTTGCCAACCTAGCCAAGGGTGATACGACATGGAGTCTACATACGCTCACAAAAAGCATTAACAATACCCTCCCTCGAGGCGTGGAGTCTACAACACCGCGACATAAGCCACACTGCTTTCTAGGCCTGGAATCCAGTCCCGCAAAGGGTCCTAGGTACTGATATGGGGAACACTTCCCCAAATCATAATAGTAATTCCGAATATGGAAACCCTACATTCTACTATATAGGTACTTTGGACCCTTTGGGACCGTAAGTTCCAGCAACTCCGTCTCAAACTTCAGGCATCCTTGTCATGTCTCTACTTGCCTCATCCCCAAGTAGCCAATCTGCAAAATCTTCCTGTGCGAAGTCCAAAACTGCCAAATACCCTACAGGCCCTTACCCCACCAGAATCTCAGCTAGACACCCCACGCCCTAAACGTGAAACCCAAAAAACGTACAACCCTAAGCCCCAAACCCTAAACCCTAAACCCCTAAACCCTAAACCCTAAACCCTAAGCCCCAAACCGCAAAACCGGAAACCATCGAGCAGCCGGTAGAATCCGATGCCGAGCTCACGGCAGAGTTGAGAAAGAAGTAACCTGCAGCCGGTGGGGGTTTAGGGTTTAGGGGTTTAGGGTTTAGGGGTTTAGGGTTTAGGGGCCGGCGGGGATTTAGGGTTGAAGGTAAGGGTGTGACAGGCTTTTCGAGCGTAACGGCGAGCACTGAGTGATTAGACTCGGGAAATCGGGGTGAGGACCCATAAAAAGCTCTCCAAACACCCTTCCATAATCCGGTGTTGGCACTCAAGCTTGGGGACCAAAAAATTGCGAGAACATGCGGTTCACAGTATAATTTGAGAGGCCATAACCATTAGGACCAACTAAACCCTAAACGATGTCACGGTTCACAACCCATATCAGGCTTTTGTAAGTCTAGGTTTTAGCCCTAAAGCCGCCCGAAATTGCAATGCCTGTGCCATCTACTCAGTTGCTTTAGGTTTGTAGGGTCTTGGGCTTGTTTTGGTGGCTTTGTGGCTTTATACGGCTTAGGGTGTTTACGGCTTGGCTTTTGGGCCTTTTGGGGTTGCGCGCGTTCAGTCCGTTTCAGCTTGACAGAATTTAGGGTTTACCTGGCATTTAACAAGGCATCATTGGGTCTAGGGTGTGTCGTGCTTTTAGGGATTTCTGGGTTCAGGGTGTTAACGACTTTTACGTCCGGTTGTAGGGGTTACACCATGAAAACCTTACACAGCCAGTACAAGCGGCGCATAACCATGGCTGCATGAAGCCCTGCAGGGCCTTCTTGAGAGCTTTTCTTACCTTTGGTTAGTAGGGAATGGAAGAATGGTAGTAATAGTAGTTGTAATTGTACCCCATCCATTCCCTACTAACCAAAGGTAGGTTTTTTGAAATTTCGAAGCCGGCCTTGCAGATGTACCAGCTCGCCCTGGTCGCGATGAGGTTAGCAGCTTCCTGTCCCAGAGAGTGCATTGGGATGTAGGTCGGGCTTGCAAGGCTTATAATCTTACCTTCGGTTAGTAGGGAATGGAGGAATGGGGTACAATTATAACCACTATTACTACCATTCTTCCGTTCCCTACTAACCAAAGGTAGGTGATGTCCCTAAGGGTCCATGTAGTATTATAGTATATACTTCTGCCTGAACGTAGGCCCTGTATAGGTACTGTAGGGCAAATGTATTTAGTGTATGAGTACTTGGACTCTTGGGCAACTTCGCCGAACAGCAAGACAGCCAGAAATCACGCAATGAAATACACAAAAACACGCCTTTGAAGGCTTCACCGCTGGGAACTAAAGGTTATAGCCCCTGGAATTATATGTCCTTCAAAAAAGTTAACGGTTATCTCCCTTAGATAGCCGAAAACCTTACACTTTGACCGTTGCTGAAAAATCTGCGGCCTGAACTCCACAGTAAAACCAAACCACCCCAAAAGGCGCCTTCATCCGCGAGCCCGGCGTGGTGTCTTCCATATCCACAAAGACGGTGATTTGCACGGTATTACCGACCTCGGGCTTCCGGGTAGGGTTTAGGGTTTAGGGTTTAGGGTTTTGGGTTTAGGGTTTAGGGTTTGCCTTCAAGGGAGCCAGAAGGGCGGGGGGTTTAGGGTTTAAGTTTCAGGGTTATAGGGTTTAGGATTTAGGAATGCCTACTTATTCAGGTTCCACGACGTGGAACCTGAATAAAGTATGTCTTGTTGTTGGATTACGTTGGTTTCTTGTTGTCGGATACCCACCAGATTTGAAAGCGATAGCGCACGTACACCCTGGGGTTCAGTATCAGGGCTCCCCCTACATAGTTCATGGTTGGGATAGGATGAACAAACTAAGGTTGGAATTCCGTATACTGTTTAAGTACCCGTAAAAATGTAAAGCGTGACCTAACTATGACAAAACTACCCTGGAAACCCATCCCGCCTGGCTTCCTCGCCTAGGCCCGAGAGCGTAGCACCCTGTACTTGGATAGCTCATTCTACGGATGGTTAGGACCCGACATAGGTTGGGGCTTCAACATCCCTAACACCTAAAATCCAGTAGTACCTCCCTAAAAAATATACCCCTAGACCCAAAACTTTCTACAGCCGAAGCCACACTGTGGTCCACGAGGCCCAGAAGGTGCGTCGGATGAGGTTGGTTCAGATCCTGCGCCCGCTTCGTGTCTTTGACCCTTACCTGAGCCCCTTTTGCCTTGCATATTGGTTTGCCAAACTACGACTGTATAGTATGTGATAGTACAGTATGGTATAGTGATCCTATGTCTGTCAACCAATCAATCTATCTATCTATCCATCGATCTTATCAACCTATCCATCTATGTATATACCAGTGTGTGTGTGTATACATATATACAGATAACTGCCACAGGATAGTATGCTGCGACCCCAATCCGAAAGGGCTGAGCAACTTTCCGTGAACAGCATGCACCGATCGGTTGTCCACGACGACCTCATTTAAGTCTTCAGCGGTTTAGGGTTTAGGGTTCCTCACAACGCTCAACGCAGAAACACCAAGACAGGACCTGCTCGAATGCTTGAACGCGATCTTGTTGACTTGCGACTGCACGACCACTATTACCACCACTACCTACTACTACTACTACTACTACTACTACTACTACTACTACTACTACTACTACTACTACTACTACTACTACTACTACTACTACTACTACTACTACTCCTGCTGCTGCTACTACTACTACTACTACGACTACGACTACGGCGACTACTACTACGATGACGACGACGACTACTACTACTAATACTACGACGACTACTGCTACTACTGCTACTACTACTACTACTACTACAACTACTGCTACTACTAGCACTCTGTGTCCAGTCGACAACAAGCTTCCGATTCCGCCTGCCCCTGCGTCACAAGGACCAAATCGTGGATGCTGTACCTCAGGCGCCAGCTAGCCCGAAGCCGAAAGCACTGAAGTCCAGCACTCTAAACCCCTGCGCCCCGAACGCAAACTGTGTATTTTCTGTCGATGAGTTCTAGACCTCCAAAAAATTCTTTAGTGCTCCAAAAGATTACTTACTCGACGACGAAGTCAGGCGATGTCGATTTCTCGGAGATGGATACACGGGGCCTCTGTACTCGGCAGGATTACCGTATCATACAAATTACCCTACACCTTCAACCCCGAAACCTTGAGGCATATGCCCTAAATACAGACTGTGACTATAACTATTATGGCTATCACTAATTAGACTCAGGATGTTCTTTCCAAAACTGGTGAGCATGGGACCAGCTTGTGGTACGTCGCGGCCTCGAACCCATTAACCAAGGCAGCAATAACCCTCGATCTGGCATCCACCAAACCCGATCCCCTGAACAGCCAAGCCCTAAAGCACCTTTCTACACAACAGGTTCAATGCTTGATGTACGATCGACGGATTATTCTTCTTACCCTACACTATATTCCAGCCCGATAGACTACCTTTAGCCTGCTGTTGTTGTTGCTGGCACAGTTGCTTCGTTAAGGGAACTCCAGAACACAAGAGACCCAGGGATTCACCCTGGCCAGCAGCACCCTCAACGCACAAAAACATCAAACGGGACGCTCATTTTCAGACGGCCACTAACCGACTACTAAGATATGAGTAGTCGTAAACCGAGGCAAGGGACCAAGAGATTGAAATTGCATCTTTCGTGCGCGTGAGTTCCAGCTTCACCTGGGAGAGGCTGCGTCGAGTTGAAAGTAATTTTGAAGTTTAGGGTCTAGGAGCAGCTTTTGGGCTGAAAAGCTATACCCAGTACAATCTCGGCTGTTGGGTTGAACCATGTCATAGGTTCGCGTGAATCACTCGGTACATGCCGTGACAAGCGGGCACACTACATGGGCTTCAAGCCTGTAGGACTTTGGTTCGGGATTCTGTTTGTGTGTGTGTGTGTTTTGGATGGGGGGTTAGAGCTTAGGGCTTGGGGCTACGCATTGTTGTTCCAAGAAGGCATGACTGATCAATGTAGTCATGGTAGTAACGGAAAAAGGCATACACGTGCAGATTTTGCATGGGACGTGCGGCACAGTTTGTAGATGACATGGAACCAAATTACTACAGATACCAGTAATACAATGTCTCATACATTAGGCGGTGATGCTTGTGTTGAGTCATGATGTTGATGATGGTGATGATTATGCTGATGATGACACTGATGGCTGAGATGAAGCTGTTGATGATTCACTGATGACGGCAATGAGAACCATGTGAGAATGAAGAACGTGCTGGTAAGATGCAGGTCACGACAAAGACATCCAGGAATTTGGTACACATCACATGATGACCGCCTTGGTTGACAATGATGCCTTCAACCCTCATGCTCTCTTTGGCTTGACAGGCCCAGCTGCGAAAGGCGGGTCAAGGCGGAAGGCGTGTAAAGAAACCTGCGTCGCGGATCGTTTTGGTTCAAGAAACGGCATCAGGGCCCGATCAGGGCTTTTCAATTGCCCGGGACTATGAGAGCAGAACATTATTGCCTAATGTAAACCCAACACATCCCAACACCCTAGCAGTTGTGTATGCTGTACATATTTCAAGGGCTTGCAAGAAGCGAGAGAATCTTTCCAACTATTCAGACCCCATCCTAAATTTCGAAATGCCTATAGAGGCCCCGGCAAAGCCTATGACGACCAAGTGCAACCCGAAAGCAAAACCTTCGATTCTACCAGGTGCCCCACCAACCCCAATCCGTAAATCCCAGACACGAACTCTTGAAGCTTAAACCCTAAACCCAAACCCCTAAACCCCTAAACCCTAACCCTGAACCGCCAGACCCTAAACCCTAAACCGCTAGACCCTAACCCCTTACGGAATCCTCGAGCCTCACAGGAGCCCAGAATCCCCACCAAAAATCGCAGACCCTAAACCTGAGCGGACCAAAAAACCTTAAACCCCAAACCAGATAAAGGCCTAAACAGACCCTAAACCTTAAACTCTAAACCTTTCTAGAACCCTTAAACCCTAAACCTTTCTAGGACCCTTAAACCCTAAACCTTTCTAGAACCCTTATATTCAAGGGACCCTCAGAACCTCGGCCCCAGGACCTTCGAGGACCCTAGGCCCTCAACCCCTGCTAGAGCCCTTGAAGCCTAGATCCGAAGCCCTTAGGGTTTAAGGTTAAGGGTTTTGGGTTTTGGGTTTAAGGTTAAGGGTTTAGGGTTTACGGTTAAGGGTTAAGGGTTTTGGGTTTAGGGTTAAGGGTTTAGGGTTAAGGGTTTAGGGTTAAGGGTTTAGGGTTTAGGGTTTAGGGTTAAGGGTTTAGGATTTATACTAGGGCTTTGAAGGAACCCCAAACCCTGAACCCTAACCCTTATAACCTAAGCACTTGTTAAAGTACCCTTAAAGGAGCCCTGAGCCCTATAGGTCCAAGCCCTTAAAGGAACCCTAAACCCTAAACCCCAACCCTTAGAACCCTTAAAGGAACCCTACACCCTCTAAGCCCCCCAAAAAATCCCCAAGCCCTTAAAGTCACCCCAAGATCCACCTGTTCAGTCTCTTTCTCCATCTCTGAGTCCCTGGAGCAGCTCAGATCTGAGAAACTCTAAACCCTAAACCCCTAAACCCTAAACCCCTAAACCCTAAACCCTAACTGACTTCAGGGTGAAGTATCATACATCCTAAACGGCTGCTACGGTGACATACTCTAGGGATCTAAGGACTCATATAGGGTTCCTTTAAAGGGATCTATAAGGGGTCCTTTAAAGGGATCTATAGGGTTGAGGGTCTAAGTAAGGACTCATATATGAAGACTTTTGCGCCCAAAATACATACTACATAAGGCTCTTGGGCTATTTTGATCCAGCTTGTGGGTTTCAGGTTGAGGGTCTAGCGCTGCTACTGTGACATGCTTGGAGGCCCAAGGGACTCAGCAAGTAGGTTTTCCGTAGAGCTATAAGAGATGGAGTTACCCGGAGCTCCACTTATTGTAGGAACCTGATTAAGGAACATGTAAAGAACACCAATAAAGGCCCAGGGTTTTTCCATATTACCGTGACATGAGGCTTCCAACTATCACGGTCTGTAAGACCTAGCAACTCAGGCTTCGCCCAAGGGTCCTACACAGATAAGGGTCCCATTACAAGGGGTCTCTATAGAATCGATAGGGTTCGAGATTTAGGTTTTGGGGCTTGGATTTGGGGTTTTACTGTTCAGCTGAGGTGAGGATGGGCTGAGGCTTCCTTTACGGGTTCTCTGAGGGAGTTCGGGCTTTTAAGGTCCAGGTTGCCGTAAAATCAGGCGTCACTAAAGCAGCGTAGAACCCCGAGTGCTCAAGTAACCTCGAGGATTGACTTAGAAGTTTACCACTTGTACGGTGTCGGGTCGAAGAAATCAAACATCAGACTCCCGTGTAGTGTCGTTGCAAGCACACAGTCTTGAAACACAAACGCACCGCCGGACGTGCGTAGATAATCAGCAGGGGTAGTCTACTTTGGCCATTTACAATGGACTATAATGTGCCTCCAAACGCTCTGGAACTTAAGCAGACCTTTGTACTACAAGTCGGGGACTTACGTTCGAGACAGTTTGCTTCATTGATCGAAACCCACAACACATGTGCATGCAAACATACGTACGGATAGGCCCAGGCAGAGGGCATTTCAATCTAAATGCCCAGCTTTGTCTTCGAAGCCCTGCATCCTGTAAACCCTAAACCCGCAGTGCAACAAGTAGGCTCCCCACTTGCAGCGCTGGATCTGCGCCTGTGCCTCGCCAGGCGATGGACGGAGGGGTTTAGGGTTTAGGATTTCTTTGCTTAGGGCTTACGGTTTGGGGTCTGCCTAAACCCTCAAAACCATAAGAACGCTTGAAATGATGGCCCAACATGTATGACAGGCGTGTATTATACATGGATTTGGGGTCCAGGCAAATGCCCTGCTTGGAGACTCCGGGGTGTCTTGAAGAAGCGGGTCATCAGTGAGGTTAGTTGCAAAATATGCTAAATTAGGGGCCTTAATAACTAGAATAGGGTTTTCGAAGTCCAAAACCCTCCTTCAAAGAAACACTGTGGAAGCACCATCAAGCCCCCTAATCCCTAAACCGTCCTCATGCGAACCACGCCAGACCTCACGGAAGTACAGCGGCAAGAAACTGCTGACGTACTCGGCCTCAGTTGGGCGTGTAGGAAAGCCTCTGGCCACAGGGTTCGGGTTAAAAGGGTCTCGGGTTTAGGGATTATGCTAGGAAGTCGGGGCTATATGGATTAGAAGCTGCCCCCACCCTGTAATAGTGACTATAAGGATTATTTTCGGGCCCTATTATATTCCGATTATACCACTATTACAGGGTGCGTTCTAATGTATGGAGTTCTAATGTTTTAGAGAATAGCGTTCCCAAGAAACTGTCACACCGGCATCATCAAAACAAGACACCCTCAATTCCCTAAGGGTCCAAAGGACCCCAATAATTGGGGTTCCTTTAAAGTGGGTTCTATCAGGTTCGTTGAAAAGGGCTACTATAAGGGTTCGATTATCTGGGCCTTAATAGTTAGGTACTCGGTTTTAGGATAGTAGTAACGTAGGTTACGATTTTGGAGAGTACATGATTATTGGGTACTTGGACCCTGGAGGATTTCTATACTCCTCCCCAGGCTTCACGGGTAAGACATACGGTTGATGATAGAAATCCTGCATTACCCATAACAAGGAATCCACCATCATTCCCATAGTCTAGGGCCATTACATAAGGTAATGCAGGATTTATATCATCAACCGTTTGGCTGTTCTTGAAACACCTGCCTTCAAGCAGCATCCAGGAGATCTCTGGGAGCAGGGCATTTCGTACTGGCCTATCATCGAGTGTAATTGGGTAGCTGGGGTTCAATCTTGAAGATGGGTCACACGATGCAGTTTAAAAGTAACAGGCACAAAGTTATGACTTCGGAGAAGAGGGGACTTAATATAGAATCCTACACTTATTGCAGGTGCATCTGTGCATCTTGCAATGAATCCGAGAATCTCTAGAGATTTCGCTGCCGAGTCGAGCATGTCTTGAGTTAGGATTCAAGACCTCAGGACAAGGCGACTACCGAATATACCGACATATCCCGTATACTTCTAAAGTTCAGAGCGCTGAACTGCGAAACGGAAATTTAGCCATGGTCCAGGGTGAAGGACTTGGATTTGGTGTTGCGGGTTTAGGGGTCCGACCCCTGCGGGGAAAAAAATCCATCAAATAGTTAGGGCCTGGACCCATGAAGGGATCCGTTCTGGGAGCCATTGCAACTTATAAGGCAAAATACCGTATAATAGTGGTTACCCTAAGGCCCCAAAGTAGTTCCTTTTTGGGGTTACCTTATAGGATTCTAAATTTGAACCTCAAAAATGAACTACTTGGGGGCCTTAGGGTAGCTCAGGAACCCTTATAGGAGCCGCTTTACGTCGCAAACCCTTACACCCTCCCAGGTCCGGGGTTTCGCGCCTCATCCTCAAAACGCTGGGGCACCTGCGCGGGTCAGGATGTAAGGTTGATTAGTTAGGATTAGGGTTGAGGATTTAGGTTTTCAAAGGATTCAGGTTTTAGGGTTTAGGATTTAGGGTTTAGGGCTTAGGGCTTAAGGCTTGCGGCTTAACGGATTTAGAGTCTAGGACTTCTACAACCAAGCCCATAACCTTGCAGGGACTCTGTAATCGAGGCCTCGGTAGGTTTCTGGATTTACCTGTGGCCGGTGGCCCCAGACCATGCCAGGCAAAACACCAGGAAATAGCACCCTTCTAACACAGCAGGTATTTGTGGGATCCCGCCAAACATCTTCGTTGCAGCTTTCTTCCTAAATGGGTAGTTGTCAAAATTGTGGCCTCCTTTTGGGTACCCCAAATAATAGGTGCAGTACTTTATCAGGGAACCCAAAAAGGGACCCTAATTTTGACAACCACCCAAATAGAGGCCCCTTCCTCTGCAGCGAATCCTCCTGCTACCATCCTCGAAGCACTCTCTCTGTCTCTCTACCCCTAGGGGTCTAAGGACTCATATAGGATTCCTTTAAAGGGATCTATAAGGGGTCCTTTAAAGGGATCTATAGGGTTGAAGGATCTAAGGACTCATACATTGGGCATTTTGGCCCAAAGACCATACTATGGAAGGATTTTGGGCTATTTTGATCCCGAGGGTATCTACCTACGATACGAAAATACGGTACCCCAATGGACCCTCTTGGAGGGTTTAGGGTGTTGGGTCGTTATTAGGGCTCCTTGTATGAACCCTATTACCCTGAGGGTCCATGTACTCATATACCACATACTTGGGTCCCAAAGTACCTGAATAGGGACTACATTGGGGCCAATGTATATACTTTAGAAACACATGGACCCTTAGGGTTCTATTGGGGGTATAGGGCCAAGGTCTATCCGAGAGTTTCCGAAAATTAGGGGTTCCTTAAAGTGACCTGTAAGGGTGCCTTATAGAGGAATCTATCAGGGTTCCATACAGGGTTACAGGGTTTAGGGTTTGGAGTTTCCGAAAGTTAGGAGTACCTGATTTTGCGGTCCTTACAATAAGGATCCTACTAGTTGGGGTACTATATTAGGGTTCCCTACTTTCGGAAACTCCCATTTACCTACCTATCTCTCTACCTATCTTTGTATCTATCTGTCTGTCTGTCTGTCTACCTACCTCTACCGATCTGTCTATCTATCTAAGGGTTTATATAGGTTCGTTTGGTAGGGTTTAGAGTTCAGCGGACGCGGGAGGACTCGGCCTCTCCGAGGGCAGCAGAGTCTTTCCTCAGCGGTGGTGGTTGTGGCTTACGGCAGTTACGGCATTAGGTAGGTGTGTAGAGAGCTTTTGGGCTAATTAAGCGATTCTAAGACTCCGGTTCTACGTTTCGCGTTTTGGATGATCGGGAATGATGGTAGTATGGTGTTCCTGGAAGGACGAACACACATATCGTAGCAACAGTTCACAGGGCTTGTTGCATCAGCTATGGAAGCACCGTAAACCGCCCGACGCGAAACAATTACCCACAGGCTCCATAGTAGTTCCTTTTTGGGGATCATATGTAGAATCCTATAAGGCGATCCCAAAAGGAATTACTACGGAGCCTATATGGGTAAACCCCATTTGATAGTGCTTGTCCCGCCGCCGCGAATCTTGCAGGTTCGCCCTCCTATGGGAGGGCTTCAAACTCCAAATGCGAGTTTCCGAAAATTAGGGGTACCTGGTGTGGGGTCCTTATAATAAGGATCCTACTATTAATTTAGGGTACTAAATTAAGGTTCCCTATTTTCGGAAACTCCCAGATCCCAAGAAGCTGTGAAGGCCCACGTGGAAACCTGAATCCACAATCCGTTCCTCTTCACATGTAGAATGCTAAGTTATCAAGCATTACGCCCTAAACCCTAATCCCCGAAAGCCTTTCGAAGTAGAACCCTTGTAGATCCCTCAAAGAACCCCTACTGGAACTCTCGAGTCATTCAACCCTGAACCAGAGGATTCAAAAGACCTACGCTTCGACATCCGTACTTTCAAAACCCAACTTTTTAAGGGTTCAGGGCTTATAGGGTTTGGGTTTAGGGTTTAGGGATTTCGGTAACCTGGAAAACCTTAGCCCGATAGCCTTAACAAAATGAGTGTGTTCTGCTTTGTAAGGTCTAGTGGAATGCTGGCGGCTTACGGTATGTGCTTCTTCAATGCGCTAAGGTTTGGGGATTAGGGTTTACGGGCTAGGGTTAAGACTTCAGGGTTTTGGAGAGGCCTGTGCATCTGAGAACCAGGCATGCGCTGGTGGGCCAGTCGTTTGGCCTGGCTTGGTTTCTACGAGGGACTGAACTCTAGGCCCTAAACCCTGAACCAGGCATGGTTTCTGAGACTGCGCGAAGGAGCTGGAGAACTTCGGAAGGTAACCTCGTGACAAAACAGTACGCTTCACTATACAAGCACTGCGAAAGCTATGCTAAATCTCACCTCCGGGGGATGAGTTCAGACATGTCATCATCCCCCAAACTTTGCCATGTCTTTTGATCCCAAATCCAGAGTCCCGAGCCCCTCAACTCGTTTGATCCCTCATACTAAACTGGGTTGGCCTTTAAACACCCTGAAAAATATTTGTATATAGGGCCCCTTATAAACCCAAATAGGGAAAATTAAAAAATGTCCCAAAATCCAACCTAGTAAACGCCAACCCCCCCCGGCCCCAACCCCCAAAGAGCAGACTCAGTCTTTGCGCTTCTATCATCTAGGATGCCCAGTAACCTAGGAATGAAAAGGGTTCCCTTTTTGGTACTGGGTAACTTTATAAGGAACCTAGGACTACAAAAAGGGAATAAGGGTACTACTGGGCATCCTAGTCATTCTATCAGATTCTATCAGCCACAACGGGCTCCATGAGCTTAAGGGTCCATTGCCTCAAGGACTCCTTTCACTTGCACTTCGACACCTACCTTTGCAAAGCTCAATGACCCCCACTCCAAGCCCGTGCCCATCACAACCGACCGCAGCAGCCGCCCCACTCCTACCTTAAAATCCTGAATCCTACGCTCGGAACCTTGCATCTTAAAGCCTACACACGAAACCCAAACCCCGAAACCCTGAACCCTCAACCCTCCCGTAAGAAAAGAACGACGCCAGCTCGGCGAGGTTGCTCCGCGCCGTCATCTCTCGCTCTTTCAGTTTGGCCTCCTTTTCCTGTCAGGACTTAGAGCTCTGGGTTTTAGGGGCTAGGGTTTAGTTAGGGGTTTGCAGGTTTCGGGGTTATAGGGGTTCAGGGTTGTAGGGGTTTAGGAGTTTAGGGGTTTGGGGGCTTAAGGGTTTGGAGATTTAGGGGTTTGGGGGTTTTAGGATTTAAGGTTTAGGGCTGCCAGGGTTGGGTTCGGGGTTTTACAGAGGCTCCCAAACCTGTCACTGAAATCTACATGGTGCAGTTGTAGAAACACTGGACGGAAAGGAATCTGCAAGACTCTTTAAGGAACCCTACAGATCCCTTTAAGGAGCCCTATAGATCCCTTTAAGGAACCCTGTAGATCCCTTTAAGGTATCCCAAAGAACAGTTCTGCCGGACGACATCCGAAGTATCTACTTAAACACGTTCCGACCCCGAGGATTAGTCGGGCTTGTATGGGAGTTTCCGAAAATTGGAGACCCTAACATAGGACCCTAAAATAGGAGGATGCTTATTATGCACAAAATCGGGTCCCACGAATATTCGGAAACTGCCATATGCATCCACTCTTCCCTTTAGAGTTTGGGGTTTTGTGCCGCACTTTTTGCAAAACCGGAATGCTGTCGTTTTCATCACTAGAGACCGGCTTCGCTAGCCGGCTGCCACCAACGAAAGGATCAAATGGAAAGCAGTATACGTCCATACAGTGAGTTAAAACAGTAGCAGCTAGAAGAGATCATTGCCGCCCAATCTCCTCTCTCTCTCGCTCGCTCCCTGCCTCTCTCTCTCTCTCTCTCTGTCTCTCTCTCTCTCTTTCTCTGCCTCTCTCTCTCACTTCATGCTGGCCCTGAGCCCTAAAGCCAAAGGGCTACAATGGCTATGCTACCCTGCGACTCAAACTGCATGCTGCACCTAGGGCTCAACTTACCCTAAAGGGATCCTCTAAGGGATCTAAAGGGTTTAGGGTTTAGGGAATTCTTTGGTTAGTAGGGAATGGAGGAATGGGGCGCAATTATAACTACTACTACTACTACTACTACTACTACTACTACTACTACTACTACTACTACCATTCTTCCATTCCCTACTAACCAAAGGCAAGTCAAAAGCTTGGGCCACTCCGCTTCCAGCCACACTCTGAGGCCCATTCCTAAGTCCTAAGCCCCAAGCTCCTGAACTACTGTTGATGGACAAAATCCTGCATGACCCTAAGGACTCTAAACTATGGGAACTATGGTATATTCCCTATAAAGGGTAATGCAGGATTTTGTCCATCAACAGTAGCGTCCCAGGGTCCCACAATTCCCTCCGGGGTGCGGACTTCTGCTGGCAGCTTGTCGATGGACCTGACATGGAGGATCAGGGGTACTAATTATTTTTTTTGATTTTTTTTGCTGCTTTGAGCGTTATCATGGAGAGGATTTAAAGGCACTAGTTGTAAATGCTTTGAGAGTTATTGTGGGTCTAGGGGTTTCGCAGGTCTTGTAAGGATTGGATGTGGGCTTTCTATTGGTTTCAGGTCTGCTTAAGTATCAGGAGACTTTCCAGGGGTTATCAGGATCTTCTGGCGAGCTCTCGCATAGGGTTTCGTCGCCCTTCCTAAGTTACGCCGAGACGGACGGACAGCAGGCAGGCGGATTGGCATGCATCTATGCATGCATACCATGCACATACATACTTAGATAAATACATACATACATACATACCTACCTTTACCTTTACCTTTACCTTTACCTTTACCTTTACGTTTACCTTTACCTTTACCTTTACCTTTACCTTTACCTTTACCTTTACCTTTACCTTTACCTACACCTACACCTACACCTACACCTACACCTACACCTACACCTACACCTATACCTATACCTATACCTATACCTATACCTATACCTATACCTATACCTATACCTATACCTATACCTACCGTCCGTATGTACATACGTACATGCACACACTCCCACACACACATACATACATAGACGTGTATACATAGAGGCGCACGCCTATTTAGAAGTCTGTACGTACATGTGCAGTTTTGTATACAGACACATGCAGGTATATTCATTTTTGCTCTCATATACAGGTGTACATGAATGATTGAAAATACAATTACATACACAGTTACATCCACGAACGAATACGAAACACATGACAAAAGCAACCACAAATCAACATATCAAACAAATACACAAACCACTACATACACCAGTGCACGTATATGCATATGTATGAAACATAGAAACAGACACAGTCTTGGCAATTTTGGTAGGTTGGAGTTGCAAAGAGGGCTTTCTTGTTCGGAGTCCTTAACAAAGCCATCCTGGAACCCCCCGCCCCACTACTTTTCTGCAACTCCTACAGCCATCAATCCCACGGTCCTTTCCCCCCACCACCTGAGATGCCTACATCCTGCCCCAAAATGAGCCCCTAAACCCTGAAACCTTCATCCCCAACCCCACGCTACCACCCAGAATCATCGGACTGAAGTCCGCTGACAGGCGGCTGGAGATCCTTCTCCTCAGCGATTCGAGGCTTCCGCGGGCTTTAAGATTTATGGCTAAAGTGCACTTGAGAAATGTGGAGCCTCCTCAGATCTACATGCCTCCATCCCGGATGTTGGGGAATGCATGACATAGCGCATGTTGCGCAGTCGCAACCTACATGTTTGAACATAGCGGTGTGGCGAGGGAACTGGAACATACTCTGCTGCCGGATAGTATGCCCTGGTTGTTAAGACTCTGATTACACATCTCGGCAAGTTAAAGCTTGCGACAGGAACATCCGTCCTGTGTGTCATTCTACGACCGGTAGCCCCAGAAACCTGAAACATAGGTCCCTGGGTTGGCTAGTATCAGTACTCTGCGTAGGGTTTTGACAAATTAGCCTAGGGTTTGGACTTCTGTTGTAGTGTAAGATAGGGTCTTCAACGACTAGCCTAGGGTGTGGACACATGTTGTAGTATAAGATAGTACAGGCATATGTAGACTATAACGGGATACTATACTAACTGTCCAGACCCGTTTATTAGGTATATACATTCATAGCGGTAGATGATTTGGGTTGAAGCCTCAGTTGCCGGCTGCAGCTTTGTCATCGTGCCTGACCCTAAACCCTAACCTCTACCTGCGGCTCCAACCCCTACAAAACAGTAGGTTATGACCCATTAACTACTTATACTGAACTTAGAACCCTTGCCCTAGCAAAGATTATAATTTTAGGTGTTTCTTAGGGATTCTTTTAACCAAAAATGAAACAATATTTCTCAGCACCCCTAAGACTAGAGGGTAGAGCCCTCAGAACAGTTTGTTTTCGGATCCACAGGTAGAGCCTACTGCCATGGGCGCTCTCAACCGCTCGGCTGTCTGGGCTTGAACGAAAACCGCCTGCATAGTATCTTTTATGGAAGCCCTATAGATCCAGTGTTAAAGGAACGCTTATAGATTCCTTCATGATTCCTTCATATGAACCTTCATAGATCCGTTAACGGAACACAAAAAACCCCAACCCTCTAGAAACCCAAAGGACTCTTAAAGGAACCCTGAAACCCTCCCGACCTATCGACACCCTAAACCCTAAACACCTAAACCCTAAACCCCTACACCCCTAAACCCCTAAACCCCTAAACCCCTACACCCAAAAACCCTAAACCTTTGAGCAACGGGCAACATGCTGCCGAGATTCGATGTCGCGCTTCTTTCTTTTCTTCTGCGCCTGGCACGGAGCGACCCCAAAACCTTAGGTTATGGTTCAGGCTTTAGGGTTTAATTTAAGTTTTAGGGTTTGGGGATTATAGGGTTTAGGGTTTAGGTTTCAGGGTTCAGGGTTTAGGGTTTGGGGTTTAGGGTTAAGGGTTTAGGGTTTAGCACGGTCTAGTGCTTATACAGTGTTGAGTTTAGGGGATGGAAGTGTAAGGCTTGAAGCCCTGAGCCTAGAAAGCTAAAACCATACATGCACAAATCTAAACCTTAACCCCGAGACTCACAGCCCTACCAGGTACATCTCGGGAGCTGTAATGCCAGTTCAGTGGTCCATGCTTACACAGCCCACGGAAATGTCTCTCTGTGCCGACACCACCGCTGAACCCTAACTCAGTCTGCAAACCCCGGATTACTGAACCTCATTCAGCAAAACTTTCTCCGGGCTCACAAAAGGCGGAACCACTAAAACCCCAAACCCTGAACCCAGCGCATGCTGTTTTTCGAACCCGCCTCGGATAAGTGGGTCAAGTCCAGCAGCAACTCCTGCATCACCCACGAAAAGTGAAGGATTCTGGAAACATGGGCTTTCTGAAATCCAGCCGTTTTTGGTTCAGGGCTCATGGTTTCGGGC